TCGTTAAGTAGTGTGAGCGTATTATTGTCCACTCTGTTACTGTGACGTGACACGTGGTGGGGAGAGCTGTTGGAGTAGGGAGAAATGAGTTGAGCATGCCTGGCCTAAAGTAAACGAGACAAGGTAAAAGAGATACTACCGTTTCATTTGTACTTAGACCGACGAAATTCGGGAATATTCGATTTCGACCGGACATATAAACAACTCCTTCGCACGCGTGGACTTGCAAGGGACTTGCTTGTGAAGCCGTTGCATTCATCGATAAATAATACAGTCCACTGCGTAGAGTTCTGTCCAGAAGCGGCGACTCATTCCGCACGGGATCGAAGTGCGATGAAATTCTTATCTAATTCACCTTTGCAACATTTCAGGAATACAGAACGTCGAAGACGTTAGGACGATCCTGTTCATTGAAGGACGCAAGGAAGAGTGCGGACGGCGCCGACACCACCGACGACGACCGCGACGTAATATTCCCTGGCAATTCCGGACAAAAAAGGCCTGTCGTACAAGTTCCTGGATTTGAAATAAAAGGCGTTAAAAGTGCAACTAAAGTGTCCGGTTTATTTCGCGTCTCGTTCCTCGAATCCGGACCCGTTAGGGGCCACCTATCCCCTAACAGTATGGTACGTGTTAAAACACGGTACAACACAAAGACCCGCGAAAGTCACTATAGTGGCGCGTCGTACAAGAAGATGACATCCGCGAAAGCCACTATAGTGGCGCATAGTGCCTAAGAAGTTAAACTTTACCAGAATGTAACACGAATAAATGGTAATCTTTTTGACTCACTTTTTCACTTTTAAATAAGAATGTCAAGTATTTAGAGAAATAGTTAAACGACACTGATAAAGGTGAGACGCAACTTATGTATCCTGACACTGTATAATGCTGCGTTGCCATTGATATGAATTGGAAAGTATAAACTTCAAGTACGCGTCTTGAAATGATCCTCAATTTTCACTGACCGTGTCACAGTATTATTATACCTGCAGTACTAAAGCCACTGAGAACGTAATAACAATCACGAAATTCTGAAATCGCCGGATATTTGTGTTTCCATGAGGCCAAAGGCCAAGTCCCGACGAAACCGCGGTGCTGAACTTGTAATAGTCTGACTTAACGCGATCCATACCGCACCGTAGCTGAAACACAACTGACTCTCGCGCGCTGCCCATGCCGTAGAATTTCGCCCCTTTTATTTTTTCCGCACGCAATATTGCTTAATAATTTAAGCACGACACGATGGGGTCTCGGGATGATTGACGGGAGATGTAATTTTGAAATCGTGCGAATACACGCGAGGGTGAGTTCGCAGAAGTCGATCGATAGAGTCTTCGTTATAAATTTATCAGCAAACGTGTAAATTCTATGCTCTGCAGGGGGACAACACACGTTGTATTACAATTTCTTGTGAATTATGAAGAAGAGATATTTCGCAAGGAGTTTTCTTTCATTTCTGTCTCAGGTGGCATCGAATGGTACCCACATCCAATTATAGCGTAGCCGGATTAATATTGCTATCGGACCTAGCGATTCTAATTATTAAGCGAGAAATGGGGACGATTACCAATTAGACAATTGAAAAATCGTGCGGTAAAATGTAGACAACGTCGTGTGGTGAATTCCATTCATTACGATGACCTTATTCAATAATTTGATCGATCGAAACAAAGAGCAGGTAACAATAACTCCAAATGATTGACACAAGCCATAATCACAGTGTAGGTCGTTTAGCTAACGAACACGGTGCGGAAAGACAACGTTAATGTAAACTTTGTTAATCTCACGTGCCATCAACAGGTGTTACCATCCTAGAGCCACGATCGATACTCCCCCAGTTTGTACTGTTGCCAAAGTTTTAGCAACGTCGTTTGCATAATTAATTCAGAATGAGGAAGTTGGATAAAATAGTTGAAGACACGTTTGCCACATTTTTCTGAAGTTGAATTAATAATAACTATTACCTGTTCTATAGCTGTTTTATTGCTGTTTCTTATGAACTGAAGGAGGATGTTTATTAAATATTTGTCTGTCTGGTACTCACTCGATACATAGAAAGAGTATTCTCGACCGAACCAAGTAAAATTAAAGGCAAGTACTGTGGCACTTCCTATATGTAATTTTCATAAGTCATTAACAGAAACAACTTCTATTCACATGATTTATCAGAAAAATAATTTACTTAGAATACTAACTCGTTAATTCTGTTATGCAAGTCCACGATCGATATCATAGTTTTGTAGGCTCTCGCTTTCCCTTCCGCAGGAGAGACTCCTGGAAAGTCGAATACGAACGTGCAGGTCAAACGTTAACTGAGAGAAATCATGTATTAATCGAATTAATCAAGATTCTTCTGTTTCAGCTATTTTTATTCATTCGAAACATTTTTTCTTTTCTTACCCGTTTACGAACTTACCTAATTATTTTATACAATCCGGAAACGTGATGCAACATGCCCATCGCTGCTATTTCGGTAGTGATCCTAATGGTCATACCCAACAAGGTTATCGTGATCAGATACGCGGCTAGGTAGTAAAAGTATTTTTGCTCGTCGATAAAGTACCCTTCTAGAGGCAACGAACGCGGACGCGTGTAATTTAAGGGGAAAAACGTGTCGAGGAAGTCGCTACTGAATATGGTCAACATGAAAAACGTGGCCGATGGGACGATTATTACTGCAACAGCCTTGCTCATTTATAACGTTTATCGCGCATATATAAATTCAACATCGAGTGACTTACAATATTTATTAAAACTGCGAATACATGCATGACTAAAAATATAGAACATGTCTAGTATAAAATAAATTTTATACAAAGTGTATTCTTATGACACGTGTATAGAGTCTTACGGTTGGATAATTGGTGTTCCATTTGTCTTTAAGGGAGCGTGAAAATAAACCATTGGAAAACAGTCTAGAGTACTTAAGTTGATAGAACGCTTAGTTATGAACGAACGGCTGTCACAACTGAACCACCTGTTGCGGGAGTTCGATCGGGCCGACGTCGTCGTACTTACAAACCCGGTTATTCATGAATACGATCAATATCTATAACCCTCGGAGACGGTCACCCTCTCCGTGTAATCCGTAAGGAGTTATTGATTCGTGACATTAACCCCATAAACGAAGTCGACGTTCTCTAGAGTCCGTGACGGAATTTTCAAATGATTAATCGATAGAATTATTTAGATTAGTCAATTTTCTCGAGTCCTTTTTTATTCAGAATAATAATGGTCGGGTGCATTCGAGTGTCCAATGGTTTATGTTGCTCAGTAAAAATGGAATTAGTTTTGTGTATCACATACCAGAGTGCAGATTTCTAATTGTGAAGATCATGTGAAAGCAGCAACAAACACTGATGCGTCGATATTATAATTCATTTATTCGGATGTACATACGATGGAATATGTATCTGAGCGATTGTACGGGGGGTTCGAACGCAACTGCGAGACCGAACTCATGGCTAATAGAATTCTTACGATTTCTCTCATTTTTTTCAAATATTTCCCACATTCCCGAGAATCGTGGCGATGAAAAAAATGTTATGTCGCGACGTTCAATAGATAGCGGTTATAATTTCTACGGTGGGGGACCGATTATGGTAATTGTATGTTGCAGTGCAAAAGGCTAGCAACAATCTATGTTTATACAATATACATGCTGCAGTCTACCTTCCATAGTATAAATTCTTATTTACCCCCCCTGGCTTCTTATTCTCTCACGTTTTTCCAGCATTTTCTTCCAGCAATCCGTTATTAACTAATACTACTTTGTAGGAAGTTCGTGTACTTTTTCCAAGGTTCTATTCACTTCGCTGTGCTTTGAGCCGAGTGGTCTATTTCATCCTCCTGTTTTTAGTATCCTATGTACATGTGTACAAGAAATTTGTACAAGAAATCTAGTTGATTAGATATCTCCACGTCTGTTTTCAATTTCTGAACAGAAAATTCACTAAAATATGATTGAATATTATTTTATGATTCGGGAATATTTACTTCTTACTCGTATAAAATTATCTGTAGATGATATCCATCTGTAAACTGTTCTTCTACTGGTGTAAAAATATCATCAAATAGGAAGCTGTCAATCGCAAAAACTGAAAATTGAATTATCAGTAGATTTCAATGATCAAGATAAGAATATAAATTATCAGAATACAATTTACCTCTGCGAAATCTTCGGTGGAGGTATAATAGATACCGAAAAAGGTGAACACGATTGATCTGTTACCTCACATTCGCAAAATCGTAGTTATTAAAGTGATTATAGGTTGCAGAAATGTATTTTTTTCACGAATTTTTAACCACCATCGGCTCTTTGGTCCGGTGAAATTGTTTCTCGAGCAGCCTTCGATCAACTCTGTGCGTATGAAGCGTGCGGATGTGTACAATGAGAATGATACGTGTCAAAGAGGTGAAGTGCTTGCGAGGTAATTCCAATTTATAACATTCAATTCAGACTGGTTTCCTCACAAATAATCGTTTATTGAGCAGTGCATTAAAAAGAGTCCTACATCGCAGAACAATGAAAATGATTTGACTATCAACAAACTTCCTATGACGGCTAATCCAGTATCACTCCATAACGATATCACTGGGTGGAGTACATCACCATGAAATAGGATAGTGACGTATTTACTAACTGAAAATACAGATTACATACAATCGAGGTACTGTCAGACTTTTATTATTCAGCAATCTGAAGCGATAAGTACAGTCGCGAAACCTTCGAATGATGGTGTGAACACAATCAGCAGATTGAAGATTTCACCTTTTAATGTTTTCAACATTATGAACAGTAACAACTTTTGCATAGTTACTGGCGTTCTGTACCATTCGCTGTTGTATCTGCAAACTTCAATTGAATAACATGCATTCGAATGGAACGAAATATGTAAATAGTGATAATTTCCGGTATGTGCACGGATCGACTACTGCTAATAACGGAGGAATTATCCTAGAACTTACAAAGCTTTAAAAATATCGTCTCTGCCATCGTTTACATCTTGTATTAAATAATTCATATAGAACATGTAAATAGAGATGACCAGAATGATGGACGAAGAAATAAGCATTTGATCACCCATTCTATGTATCGACAATGACAGCTAAAAGAAGTTCTTCCAGGTTTTAATCTTCTTATTAAACAGAATATGTTCTTTACAGACGAGGCGAGGTACTCACCCAATATAGATTAACGCTTAGAGCAATGACGCCACAGATAAGAAGCACAGCGTACGAAACCGTGAAGTGTTTCTCCATAAGGTTAATGAACCTTCAAAAAATTAAATGTATTGCGGCCATTTCTAGATGACCAAATCTCAGAAGTATTGAGTTCTTAACTCGTGTAAAAGAGTTATCTATTAAGTAACGAGGAAAATATTGTGAGTACGAATATTTTCTAGAAATACGAACTTGATCACTCGTGTGTGCAAAACGATGACTTTGATGAGACCCTCTTTCCCTTTATCAGCTAAACATTTCTGCGATTCATTCGTTGAGTCAGAAATCGCTTTTTCGATACGATAACTGAAAATGAGAGTCGTCTCTAAACGATTTGGTTTTGTGAGAATTTCTCTTGAGTGCGCAGAACGTTCGAACAGAGAAGGAATACCATTTTTCCTGTTACCTTATGATTTTCAACAAACTGATAATATGATGTAAATGCATCGCGGTTAGCGCTTCTGTACCAACGAACGTGGTAGCAATTACGAATATTGAGAAATCTACGTAGATCGCGTATGGATAGAAGTATTTCTCTTGATCGACGGGATAGTCTATATCAAACGGGTAAGTGTGGGGTCGCGACGCGTTAAGCGGTATGAAAAAGTCAAGAATCTCTGCAGAGAAGTGAGCAATCATCACGAGAAATGTAGGGATCCATATTATATCTGCAAACAAATTATTTTATCCCACGAGTAATTGAAGATTTCATGAGTCAAATGACCCTTGTCAACACCGAAAAACCCGCAACTTGGTGATTTAATTAAATATGTTCTATCTATAATTATATAACTGAATACGCTTCATTTGAAACTATTGAAATCCGTCGGACTTCGACAAGCGTCATTTTTATTACGACCTCTTTAATTTCTGGACGGTCATTGATCTAATGAGATTCTCCTGTTTACTTCTTACATGCAAACGTTTTCCCAAAATGGTAACCCCTATAGGTGTATTTTGTCAGAATTGTAAGTTCCTCGTCGTTCTCAACCGTAATCCAATCGTAACTGATATCACGAGACATTTTGCAGATCTGAACTTATTAATTTGTTAATGTATCAAGTTCTACCAGAATTTAAACGAATAAATATTGATAGTTTTAACTCACTGATTCCATATTAATTAAGAACGTCAAGTATTTAAAGAAACATGCAACCGCTATCGTTAAAGGTAATATGCGTTTTATATACTCCGACATTGTGTAATGATGCGTTATCACCGTTATGAACTGGAAAATATGGAACTTCAAGTACGATTCTTGAAGCGCTCGGTAACTTTCACTGACCGTCTCACAGTATCATTATACCTGCAATATTACAGCCATTGAGAGTGTAATAACAATCACGAAATTCTGAAATCGCCGGATATTTGTGTTTCCATGAAGCCAAAGGCCAAGCCCCGACAAAACCCCTATGGTGAACTTGTAATAGTTTGACTTAACGCGATCCATACCGCACCGTAGCTGAAACACAACTGACTCTCGCGCGCTCCCCATGCCGCAGAATTTCGCCCCTTTTATTTTT